AACAGGTTCAGTAGTTACATTTACAAGACACAAGCTGCACACTTCTGGCCAACCATGGGTGGGCTTGCTGGTGCTTGAACTAGCCAGTTTCTGCTGTCCTCCTTCAGTCAACCTGAGGCTCTGGTAGGAAGGCATGTTTCCTCTGCAGATCCCTACAAAGTGGCTCCAGTTTTAAGATGGATGAGTTTTCCGCTTTAGTGCATAATTTTAGTGAGATTTTCATTTAAAATGTGTTAATTTTGGTTAACAAAAGAAATGTTTGTATTGAATTGTAAAAGTGTGTTTCTGTTCATCTGCTTATTGTTGATGTTTGTCTTCTCTTATTGCACCAAACAGCAGAACTACAATACCACAGCACCACTATAGTTATGGTAAAATACCTACATAACTATATGGAATATAATCCTAAATAATAGCACCTATGTCATGCCTCATATTTATTTCTTATGATTTATAACCACATATAAGAAGGCATCCATCTGCTATTCTTGGCACCCTTTGACATTGGTTGAAATAAAACAGAAACAAAACCAGCAACTTCTCAGAAAAACTCAAACTAAACTTAATCTCCAGTACAACCCAGTAAGTGGGACTTTCTCCACCAGTGTCTGACAACATCAACAATCTCCTCTCTCAAGACCCAGTCTCTTTGGCTGAGTTTATTAGCCAGAAGTGGGAGAATCTCAATAAACAATTCATAGCAGACAAATGTTTCTTTTTCTGTTTACAAATTTTCCAAGGTGATTGTTTATCTCAGATTTATTCATGATACACAGTTACTTCACAAATAATTTCCATAGATAGTTTGAAGTTTGTGAGATTTCAGTGTTTGAAATTCAAACTATTCTGGTTGGGCACATAAGTGTGTATCCTAACTGGGTGATCATAACTTAGAATCGGGTTTCTAGAGTTAATACTGACCATTACAAATTCAGAATTCTCCTTCCGAAAATTTGCTTAAAAGTAATTATTTTGGCACATGTTTTTGCTTATAAACTTGCTTGCTCATACATCTGCAGAAAACCACAAATATTTTACAAATGTAAATTTATTAATTATTGCACAGTATAAATTCAACTCTAATCACAGTAGCTGATGTTAGAAATAGGGATGCAGTGGTGGCTATGGCTGGAGATGGAACATTGGAAGGGAAGCACTGAGGCTCTGAAGTGGCATTGAGCATTCTCTCTCTCAGGTGTTTCGCTGGCTGGTTCTTTCTCACATGTCCAGTGTCTACCTGATTGCCATATACAGGGAATTTTTCCCCAGGTCAATTTGGCAATGACCTTTGGGTGTTTTTGCTTTTCTGTACGGTGTGTGGGTTTCCCAGGGTTTATCCAGGATTATCTGGGTATATCTTACTTAATCATTTCCCTGCCTTTGCTGGGGCCTTGAGCATTGGTGTGCCTTGGTCCCGCCTATTGTCTGCCCATTGCACTTAATAGTCTAGTGTCTTTTGGCTGTAATGCCAGAGGGGGGACATGCCACTGCTTCCAGTAGCTGCTTGAGGTAAGTGCCGCCCAGAGCCTGCACCCCTGAACTCCTCCCTTGCCCCAACCCCGTGCCCCAGCCCTGATCCCTCTCCCACACCCTGAACTTCTAATTTCTGGCCCCACCCCAGAGCCTGCACCATCTGCCCCAGCCCTGATCTGCCTCCTGCCCTCCGAACCCCTTGGTCCCAGCCTGGAGCACCCTCCTACACCACAATCCCTCATCCCCAACCCCCACCCCAGAGCCCACACCTCCAGCTGGAGCCCTCCCCCCAAAACATCCTAACCTCCTGCCCCAGCCTGGAGCCCCCTCCTGCTCCCTGAACTCCTCATTTCTGGCCCCAGCCCAGAGACCATACCCCCAGCCAGAGCCTTTACACCCTCCCGCACCCAAACCCAATTTCATGAGCATTCATGGCCCACCATACAATTTCCATACACAGATGCGGCCCTAGGCCAAAAAGTTTGCCCACCCCGGACTAGATGATCTGGTGGTCGCTTCTGACCTTAAACTCTATGACTCTGTGATTTAGGAATTTAATGTTAAGCAAGAGAGCTTGAGAATTAGGGTCCCTAAATTTCACTGTTACTTATTAAGATGAATAGGGCAGTTAACTGGGGGTTCTGAGCACAGTGCTTGTGAGGGGCCCAGCACCTTCAGTTCCCATTGAAATTAACAGGAGTGAAAGTTGCTTGGCACTTGGCAGGATTTTGGCTTTAGAGGTAATATTTCAGGCTATTTGTCTGAAAACTGAGAAAGACAGTGCTGCACTGATTCACATGCGTAAGGATATCATCATACCCAGAGGAGCTAGAAACATTCTGCATCTTTATTTTAAATAAAAGCAGAAAATATTGGTTATACCAATAGTCTATGAAATATCTTACAACTTCCGTGGTGTGTGTTTCTAGTGGCCTTTGAGTCTGCGAACTGTAATTCTGGTTTTTGTAATCATAGCACGTGTCCATCCCTAACTGATTTTTCATCATGCTTAGGCAATTGAAAGATTTTAACCAGATTCAGTCACTGTTGAGTTGCTCGTTTGCCCTGTGACCTAGAGGTGAAACGTTCTGTACCCATTAACAGTCTTCTGAACCAACCAATTTCAGTCTCCCAATTTATATTCATAGCAGTAATTCATTTCTTATGTGCTGCATCACATGACCACTAGGAAAGTAACTCATTGCCTTGTACAAAGAACACTCTAGTTCAAGAGTAGGAGGGAGGATGAACACAGATATACATTTAGAAATACTGACTAATTGCTCCCTTGAATGGGAATGCTGACTGCTGGAGAAAATTTAGACCAGCTTTTCATAAGAGATTTTGACACACACAACTTCATACTGAAAAGATGAAAGCGATGGAGTGCACACAAGAAGCATCTTTTAAATTAAGTACTTCACTTTTATGCCAAGTGAGTTAATGGAAAATGTTATGGGTAGACAGAGTCAAACAAAGTTACTGACTTTTATACACATTGTGTGTGTATGCAGTGTAATACATTGCATGTGTATTGTTTGTTTGGTCCCTTTGTGCATATGCTTTATGATAGTATTCAATTAGCTGACCACGTACAAATTCTCAAATATTACACACATAAAAATACATTAGAAGTACACTGTTAATATTACAGCTCAAGCACATAAAAGTTAGGGAGTGCCAGAATGAAGGTTGCACCCTCCCTGGGCTGCTCAATCAATCTTAGGGCTTGTCTTCATTACTGGGGTAAGTCGACCTAAGATACACTACTCCAGCTACGTGAATAATGTAGCTGGAGTCAAAATAGTGTCTTCACTGCGCTGCATCGACAGGAGATGCTCTCCCACCCACTTACCACTTAATCTTCTTGGGGGGCTGGAGTACCGGGATCAACTGGAGAGCACTCTGCCACCGATTTAGTGAGTCTTCACTAGACCCGCTAAATCAGCGTTGATCTCCCCGCAGTGAAGACCAGCCCTCGGTTCTTCCCAAACCCCCAGCCCATCCCCCCACCAGCTCCTTGTCCCACTCTCTGCCCAGCCAGTCTGAATTCTGCCCCCACGCCTTCTCTACTCATTAGATCTGTCTCATCACCTCCTTCCCTTCACCCCATTGATTCCCAGTGTCCTTGCCCAGCCAGTCCCAGTTTCTCTCTCCTCCCCTCCCGCGCCAGTAGTCCCAGTCTCTTCCCCTGTTCCTCTCTTCTCCTCAGGTTGGGGGAGCATGGGGGCATGATAGAGTTTCTTGAAAGATGGCCAGAATTTTTAACGTGGGCAAAACAACTTCTATTTCCCTCATCTTGATCTCCGCAATGGCTGAACCATTTTGGCTGGAATTTTCTAGAAAAGTTCAGACTGAGGCATACATCTGGCATGGAAATTTTAGCCCAAATAGATGAAATTTGGAAAAGGTATAAGTAACTGAAAACAAGATCTTTTAGTGGGAAGTGTCAGGTATCCTTAATGATAGATGATGCTACCAGCTTTGCCTGTAATAAGGAATTTTTAAAAACTTGTGATGATGATCTCACAGTTGAAGAAAGGTGTTAAACTTAACTTCAGAATAGTGTCTTTTCTTCTTAGGATCAAATTCTGAATGAGGTCCATAGGATTAAAGCTTCTGCAATAGTAGCAATTTGAAAAAAATGTACAAGATTGTAATTTCATTAAGATAACAATGGGAATTCAGTGCCGAATTGCTCTTTTTGTCTTTTGTATGTTATGCACTATGAGTCCATCGTGTCTGGTGGTAATGAAGGTCAAACTAGAATGTAAAGTAGAACTGCCTTTCTCGAGGTTAATCCATGCAACACCACCTTCAAACAAGTAACTTTTATGTATGTTTTGCTTTATAAAGGTAGCTGTTAATTGCACATTAGTCAGGATGGTTAGTAATTAATCTGCCTCCTCCCTCAATTCTGATAAGAGTAGTTTGATGGATAGTCCCACATTTCCTCTCCATACAGAATTATTGTTATTTCATAATAATCCAGGGGTAGTATTTGGGACACTATTAGATGGAAAGGCAGTTACATTCTTCATGAGACTACAGGCCTTAAGAAATTGTGATTCCTGGGGTGAAATTCTGGCCCCTTTGAAATCAATGGTATAACTCCCACTGACTTTATTGGGGCTAAGATTTCACACCACTGCCCTCTCTGGTTCCCAAAGCATCTGTTAATGTAATTTCCAAATGGGGCCAGTGTTTTATTAGGCATACTTATATCTTGAAAGTATATTTTGTTTGCTAAGGATTAGGACCCTCAACATTGACTAGCAGGACTAGTATATTGCAACTGATTTGATGGTTAGCCTAAACCATTGACTACCTCCTTTCTCCTCATTTTCCACCCACCCTCCTCCTAAGGAGTATCTATATATCTTTTGTTGTCTAACATCTGTTCTCTTTTTGTTTCACCTAATGGTTTTGATATTAAATGTATCTATTTTCAATTCATATCTAAAAATGTGGTTTCTGAGATCTACATCCAACAAGCTAAATATCCTTCACTTTTGCTATGTTTCTAGGCATTGCAAGGAATCTTCTGGAATTCCTAGGTGAAGAGAGCTACCTAAAATAGTGAGATGAAAAGGCCCTCATTCCATTTAGAAACTTGAGCCTAAGGATAGTAGTTCAGAGTGGCATAGCTGAGGCTCGGAAATCTTCTATCCAGGTAAGAAATTTATTTTTCAGACTGTGCATTTTAATTTGGAGCTGGCAAAAATTCCTTTTAAAAAGCTGAAAGATACCACCTCAATTTAATGTTCACAAATCTACATCCACTAGGGAGCAGCCTGCTTGAGATCTCCGTAATGTGTTCTGTTTGTAAAGATGCACCAAACTTTAATTGCAGCTTTCATAACTAGTTTCTCATGTGACCGGAAAAATAAAGAAACATTATAGTATGTCACTAACAAAAGGGGAAGAGTGAAGTTTCCATATAGAGAATTTCTGTTGACCAGTACAATAATTATTTCTTAGTACCAAATTCATTTTGGCTAATTGCTTGTAAAGGCTAAAGGGTGGAAAATAAATAAGTAGTGTGAACTGCAGTCCTAGAAGTTGTACTTGTTTGGGCTCTTCTGTACTACAGCTGCAAACCTCTCAGGGGACTCTACTAAAACAGTTTTTTGTGTAGCACAGACAGGAATTTCACCATATTTCTGTTCTATATTAATGAGAACTTTGTGGTGGATGGGTGGAACAAACTTACCTGTAGAAATTGGCTGAAAAGCTCTAGGAACAGACGTGGAAGACAAAGAAATCTGTGCAGAACATCAAGATTAAAGGGCTGCAAACTTCAAATTCTTAAAATGACTATTGCATGATAAAATTACTTTTTTAATAGCATGCCTTTTAGATAGGAAATGTCAATTGTTTAAAACTTCCTTTTAGAAAAATTGCAAAGATAAATACTAATAAAACAGCTGAGCAGAAATATATCATTTATATTACAGTAGTGCCCACAAGGTCCTGACCAAGGCTCATTGTGCAGGGACTATATAAACACATTCGAAGACATAGGGTGAAATTCTGGCTCCAAGGAAGTCAGTGATTGATTTCAGTACAGCTGGGATTTCACCCAAGATCCCTGCCCTGAAGGCCCCAAAAGGGTCTTTTAGACAAACCTGAGAGCAACACCTCAAACATACTCCTGCCCTCCTTGCCTCATCCTACTTCTTTCCCTCTCTCTCTGCCTGTTGCCCATTCAGATTCAGTTTCAGCCTTGCAGCTGGTTACTGGTAAGCATCAGTTTGGCAGGGTTCAGGGAAGAATGTACACCATGAACAAAACACAAAACTGATTCTTATACAGAGTGCTGTCAAATACGGAAAGTGACCAAACTGAAAAAATATTTTGCCCTCTAGTATTTCAGTTACAGTTACCTTAGGGGATTGCTGGTGTACCTATAGTAAGGACAAAATTTTGAGATGGAAATTTGTAATGTTTGAGTTGGTAGTATCCCTTTCAAATGGTGTATAAAAAATCAAATTTTACACTATAAGAATAATGAAGTAAAGGCTTCGTGAAAGGTATAGAATAATTCCATAGTGGTTAGTGGATATACTTACAGGAGGTTTTTATGATTCATGTACACAGTTTAAGGTACCATAAGCTATCAATAATTCAGGGAGTGTGTGAGACTGAAACGTGGTCTTGAACGCTATTACTATTTCCAGCAAATCAATTTGTTCCCTTTTTTGGTGGGAAAAGGGGGTGGTATTACTAACTAGAAACACATGACATGAAATGGTTGCCAAATGTTCCAGTGAAAATCAAGGGCACACTTCATAATTATGAAGATGGTGTTTGCCCTAGTTTATTTTCCCTTCACTGATGCAACTGTAACTGTTGCTGTAAATTGTATGAATAATTGATCAAGGCAACTTCACGTGTTGCCTCAAGTGATATGCTTATTGCTTTTCAAAAGCATACTTCATTCTTTGTACCAAAGCTTTACTCATGTGCTTGTGATTTTTCTGATGTTTCTTTTCCCCCAAAGGGAGTACTGGCTTTTGCTTCAATTTCCTCCATTATTTAACTGAAAAGTTCAAAAAATGAACATACTTAAAAAAATAGAAAAACATCCATCGTCCTGGGAACGGTGCAGTACACACATCTGTTTTCACATAAGCATGAATTGCAAGCTTTACAAATATTAAACATATAGTTCTTGCCACATTCTAGCTAAAGTGTTCCGTAACTTGAGACAGTATTTAAAATGAAAACAAAACTATATAGTTTCTTTACCATACTAATAGAAAACATTTAATTTACCTTCTAAAGTCAACCAAAAGAATGACACAAAGCTGTTGAAACAGATTTATGATGCCTTTTCTCCCATAGAAATCTCAATACAGCCTGAAGGTGCTGTCATGGGAGCTGGCTGAGCTCCAGCTGTGTTCAAAAGTAAACTTCTGTACCACAAACCAAAACTGATTACTTTGATTTCTTTAGTCATCACTTTGTTTCTGAGATATTATGGGGTGGACTTTTATTCGTTGCTTTTTGCTGCTTTGTTTCTACTAAGTATGTACTGAAATTTCAGCCTCTTTATGATTAAAAACCTCCATATTTACGTGACTTCAGCATTTCATGAATCAGAAGTGCTCAAAATATTTAGCCATGATGGAAGTACTGACGAAAGCAATCTCTCTATTTCCACCAACTTCACTTTGATGGAGCTTCACCTTAAAATACATTTGTGCAGAGGAAAAATGCCTTTGTTTTTCATCTGAAATACCAAGCCCTCATTCAAGAGGAGAGTTAAGGGTCAGTATGTCCTTTCTGTTCTGCAGCGATATCTTTAGACATGGGGGAAATAGGCCTTCCTACCCGTCCTTTTTTTTCTCTCTCTCTTTTTCCCCCTCCTGCTAAACAAGATCAAATATGGCAGTGCAATTTTTGCTAAATCCAGTTGGTTCCTACAGTGGAGCCATTTATCCTGCAGAAGTAAAGCTAACATAGCAGGTTTTCATATTAAACCAAATTTTGTCTTTGTTTTGAAGACAGTATCTTCTTTAGTGGATTGTTTTAATGGTTCAGACTGAACATTTGAGTAATGGTTTTGTCTTTATTTAGATTGTGGACTGTTGTAGCAGTTACCTGTCTTTTGTTTCAGCATGTTCCATAATTGGACCCTTTTCCTGTTTAAGGAGTGTGGGAAGGGTAGGATCTTCCAGGAAAAAAACCCCCCTTGTCATATGTTTGTATAGCACTGTGACAGGGTTGGGTCTCACCAGCGCAGCGCCTCCTGCTGGTTTGTCAGGGAATTAGCTCAGTCCAGTGTGGAGCACCCTCCACTGGTGGTGTCCCATCCATCTCTTGCCCTCCCTTGGTGCCTGGACCTGCGTTGCTCCCTTCTTGCGGCATCCTCTTCAAGACACTGCCCTCCAAGAGTCCCCCTTAGTCCTCTCTCACCCCCTTCCGGGGGGAGAGGTTATCAGCAGTCTTTCACTTCGCCCAGCCGCAGCGGCCAACCACACCCCAAAATCTAACCCCTTGTGCCAGGGGTCTGGTGCAGTCCGCTATCGCCACGTCCAATGGCTGGGTGTATGTGCAAAGGGGAAGGGGGGGACCCCAGCCCACCCTCTACTCTGGGTCCCGACCCAGGGACCCTTTGGCGGCAGCTTTCCTGCCCTTCTTCTCTCCCCTTGTCCACCTCTCTCCCTGGGTCGCTTCCCCTTCACACCTGCCTGGCCCTTCCCTCAGGGCCTGCAGCCTGGCAGATACCGGGCTGGAGTTCCCTTCTGCTCCCCTCGCCTGCCCCGCACTGCACCGTCCCTGGTGCTATTCCCCTCACACAGGAGACAGACCTTCACCCTCTGAAGCCCTGGGAGCGACTGACTGCTCCCTTCTTGAGCAGCCTTTATATAGGGCTGAGCCTGGCCCTGATTGGCTGCCTCTTACTCAGCCTCTTATTGGCTCCCTAGCAGGCCTTCTCTGATTGGCCATCCACCCACACAGCCTCTCTGGCCTGCTGAAGCCCCATCTAGTATAGGAGTGGGGCAGCCACCACACTACAAGCACCCATTACAATGGCCCCTGATCCTTCTGTATCCCTGGCTAAAGCCTCCGCTTCGCCTTTGTTCCCTACACATTCCCAGTCCATTGCACCTCCAACCTTTTATGGACTCACAGCAATACAAATTGGAGAGAGTTCAGAGGAGAGAAATAAAAATGATAAAAGGTCTAGAAAACCTGGCCTATGAGGAAGAGTTAAAAAAACTGGACATGTTTAGTCTTGAGAGAAGAAGACTGAGTGGAAACCTGATAACTGTCTTTGAATATGTTAAGTGCTGAAATAAAGAGGATGGTCATCCATTGTTCTCCACATCCACTTAAGGTAGGACAAGAAGTAATGGGCTTAATCTGCAACATGGGTGATTTAGGTTAGATATTAGGAAAAGTGTTTCCAGCTATCAGGATAGTTAACCTCTGGAATAGGCTTCCAAGAGAGATTGTGGAATCCCCATCATTGGAAGTTTTTAAGAAGAGGTTAGAAAAACATCTGTCAGGGATGGTCTAGCTATACTTTGTTCTGCCTCAGTACAAGAGGCTGGACTAGATGACCTATCGAGGTCCTTTCCAGCCCTACCTTTCTGTGATACTAACATTCACCAGAAGGAGTCTAGGACCTAATGTCTCTTGGACCAAGGTTTATCTCTGACAAGCTGTAGCATGTGTTCCAAACTTAAAAATTGCCTTTTTAGCAGAGCTACTATGTCTACTTTCTAGGCTACTTTTGCTGCAGGTCTCTTCCTTGTCCTAGCCTCTCACTGTGACCCACCAGTCACATGGGACATGGAAGGGGTAAGGAGAAGGGGATATTTGTAGAAAGCGTTATCTGAGAAGTGGCTTCTGCTAGACAGAGAGAACTTTCCTCAGGCTATTAAATGTGACAGATTGGGTCTGGGTGTCTCCTGGGGGGGGGGGCGCATTGAGGGTTTTGGGGAGGCATCGATTGAGGATTTTGGGGAGGCATCGAAGAAGCTTAGGTGAATTCTGGCTGGAGACCATAGGTATGCAGAAAGGCTGAGAAGCCAGGAAGGGTCTGGACACCTAAAAAAGATAGATGGTCCGAGGGTTGACAAAAGGTACTGAGGTCTGGTCTACGCTGGTGGGTGGGGATCGAGCTAAGTTACGCAACTTCAGTTATGTGAATAACGTAGC